CATTCCGTGACGCGTGTGCAGCTAAATCCTACTTACGTCACAAAGAGGAAAATAAGGATACTTTTGCCCAATACGACAGGTTGTGCCTGTAACGTTGACGGGAACGACATTTCTCAGTCATTTTCGTAATTCATTAATAACTAATGTGGGGAAAGCGCATGTTTTTATCGGCTCGCGATTCACCTGGCGCAGCCACATAAATTGCAATTAACGGTATACTACGTGAACAACTCGCTGACGGACGTGTCGTGGCATTTCATAACCATAAACGAGAATTTATGTTTCCAGTTATATTAGTCGGTAATGGAACTTAAAACTATCTTGCGCAAATTTTGCCATTTTAATTAGTCACGTCATTGAATAAAATATGTTTCATATCCTGAATGGATTGGCACAAACATTAATGCGCATTAAATATGCAATTAAACTTTAAAATTATATATATTTTTTACATGTTATTTCGCGGAAATTTTTACAACTTTATTTTATTCGAATTAAATAGACTTCAGAGTTTAACAGTTCCGAGAATTTAATATATTTTTGTATCGATTTCCATATGTATCATTTTTAAAGAGCAACGTATCGCCGAGCATAATATATCGTATTTTGTTTATCATAAATTATCGTATCTCGATGGTAATTTTATTTATCATCGAGAAGAACTCGAGAGTATGGAGAACCGAAAAATATTACCGAGGGGTAAACCGCTGACCAAAACCATGTACACCAATGCTTACTAATGCCCAGTGGGCATTACTTTATCTTATTATCTTCTTTTATCTTTATAATGCCCTAGCGAGGCCTAATGGCCAAACTAATGCCTAGTAATGCCCAGTAATGCTGCAAATCTGCACAACCACAATGCCCTCGGCGGTTTACCCCTCGAATATTACGTTACATGACCTATGCCAAAAGTTGATGTTTCGCAAACGGTTACGACTGGCACAGCAATTTGCGAGCGACTCCGACGGGTACGAACGTGAAAAACACGCGGTTTTCGCCAATTCCCGAACAACTTCGGTTACCCACCCATGGAAGAAAAACGACGAAACTGTTTATCGCGAATGTCGTGTAACGAAGGGCCCCGAACACAGAGGGGGAAGGGGGAGAGTTTTAATATTTCCGGAAGGCCGCGGAGGAGACGGACGGCGTTGTTTAATTATCTTGATTACAATGCCGCTCCGCGATCCGCTGATTGCGCAGGACGTAAAAGGGGGGGTCGTCTAACGAACTTGGCCCTTTGATCCTCGCGCCGAAGTTCTTAATTATTTTTCCGCTGTTTCTTTCGGGCGATCGCGCCCGCGCGCGAGCAAACGGCGTCTCGCCACGCAGACGATTTATCCAACCGCTTCTCGATCCCGCCGCGTGTGCCATCCTCGTCCGCGATTACGTAAGTTAACCCAAGAAATTCCACGCGCGCGTAGGTGGACCGTATATTTTACATCGTCGTGCATTTTATTACAATTCAAGCGTAATATACTCGAGTCCGGTTTTATGCGGTATATATGGAAGGTATAAAAGGATTCCCTTTTGCATAAAGCTCGAGCTATCCTTAACGTTTTATTGCGCTATAATCGAACGAGACAGGACGCGTCGGAATAATTTAAAAAGTTTAAAATGTACTACACAGAGATAAATTATCGCTCTTGAGTTTAATAATGGGTACGTGTACGGGCACGTATCGCGGAGAAACTTTCTCCTTCTTTTCTCGCCGTAACGCCCAAAGTTTAATGTGCCACGGTTGATATTCGGTAAGAGGTGACGTAAGATTCGAAAAAATAGTGGGCCACCCGCGACCAGTCACATTGCTGTACGCATGGCAATTTTTCGTATTTTCGATATATCCCTCCCAAAGTTTCATTTTAATATCAATATCTCATTACGAAATTGAAGATGCAGTATCGAAATCATTTTTTTAATGATTCATTATAAGACGATACATCGAAATAATATGTTAATGTCAATTATTTTAATTGACATTATGTAGAGTTCCGAGATGATCGACAGAAGAAATTTTCTGTTATGCAACGGAACTTTTGTCGGATTTCACGTTACATCTTATTTTGCCTCACGTAATGTAAGGCGAAATTATAAATTAATTATATTGGATGGACAGACCAGAACAAATTAAGATAAAATTGATCCATAACGTTCATGTAAGAATAGGTATAATTACATAAATAATACCGCGTTTTTATGAAATTAATTAACAAATATGCCATATAGCTAAAATGTGTTTTCTTCTACTTTATACGAAATACGCAAATAATATATAATTTTGTTGCGCCAATTTAAGTAATATTTAATCCTGGAGAAATATAAGAAGAATACTTGAACCTTACCTTATTAAACACATAACTGGGAAAAAAGGGAAAGTAGAAAAGAAAGCAATACACTACATGTGTTTCTTTCATTTTCTATAAAAAAATATAAAATGACTACTTATTTCAGCAATCTTTTAAAAAATATATATATATAGAAAAGAGAATTTAAAGATTCTAATCCTCATCCTGTCTAAAAAGAATAAGAATATCACAAAGAGAAAAGTATAATTTTACTTGTACAAAAATATAATCATTGCATTTTTCGTGATGTTATTTTACTCTACTTTATATTCTCCTTTATTTTTCAATCTATAAAGAAATATAAAATGACTACTTATTTTAGCAATCTTTTTCAAAAAAAAATATATAGAAAAGAGAATTTAAAGATTCTAATCCTCATCCTGTCTAAAAAGAATAAAGATATCACGAAGAGAAAAGTATAATTTTACTTGTACAAAAATATAATTATTGCATTTTTCGTGATGTTATTTTACTCTACTTTGTATTTTCCTTTATTTTTCAATACTTCTATTTAAGCAGCGAACAGTTAACCGACTATTTGGATACTAATATAGTCCGTTATGCACGATTCAAATTACATTATTAAAGTTTTCATAACTTTCTCAACTGCTGAAAATCTTTGTTTTCTAACTTGCATTATCTTTATAATCTAACTCGGGCCAACTTGCATAATCTTTATTCATGTTTACGAAGTGGCCGTATAAATTTCGTGCGAGTATCTCGCAAATAATTCTTCCGTAAAACCTCAGAATAACGCTTCGAAACAGGGATTTCCAATTTCTCTGTTGGAAGCTCTGCACATCGTGTACGTGCGTGCATGGGTGCAAGCGCATTCCCGTACACACGATAAATCGACGAACGATCGTACATCCAGGATTAAACATTTAAGTCTCGATCTGTTCCAGTCCATCCATTTCAAGACAACGGACGCTATGAAATGTTTATGCATATTTCTCCATAATATTTTTCCACTAACCGAATACATACATTCAAATGCGCCACGCGGGCGCATGACAATTTTTGTTCACAGCTCCGTTGTCTCGATGTAAAAAAAAAGCAACATTATTTGTCACTTACCAACCGTTGCGCAACAGCGGAGTTGTCGAAACTGCATTAATCTGCACAGAAATAAAACAATTACATTACAACGGTGCTCAAAATAATTATTCAAAAATTCATCGTTGCACGCGTCGACTTTTATATTCGTCAGGTAGACGTTTAATTAAACGGTCACGCAATTGTGCGAACAAACTTTTTTCTCGAGCAGTGCACAAGCTCTTACGCGAGGGGGAAACCGCTGAACAAAATCTTGTACACCAAGTGGGCATTACTTTATCTCATTATCTTATTTTATCTTTGCAATGCCCCAGCAATACCTAATGCCCAAAAAATGCCCAGTAATGCCGCAAATCTGTACACCACACGCCCCCAGCGGTTTTCCCCTCGCATTTACGTAACAAACACAAGTCCTTCTCTTACTTAAATCACGCGGAACCAACGATCCAAATAAACGGACGGAATCAACGACCGATGACGTACAACGTTATACGAATAACAAATTATGCGTGCGTACTCACCCATGGGGTGCTCCGCTGATGCCCGACGCCTCCCAGGCCAGTGGGGTCAGGCACGCCGCATTCGCACAGCGCAACACAACACTCGCGAGAACGAGGGCGTTAATTACGATCGCGTCCGAATTAATTATCAGGCCGCGAGCGGGGAGGGGGAGAACGACGTCGCGCGACACTTCGCACGGCAGTCCTCGAAATTGATCGCCGAGATTTCAACGTTAGCGGGCCCTCACCCTTACGTCGCGCGCGGAAATGTACAGTCGAAACTCGCGTGCCCGGCGCTTCGCAGAAGTTACCGGCTAAGGTCCGATTTCACCGTCGTTCACCGTCGCCGAACGCGAATCTTGGCGCTATTCTTCGATAGCGGTCGAGCCGCCGGCTACAAAAGCTTCGAGACGTTTCTCCTCTCCTTCCGTAACAGCCTGCGTTCGGCATTGCACGTCCGGCAATGAGGCGTCGAAATCCGTCTCCTCTTTCTCTATCCTTCACCTTCCTCTCGGTCGCACGAACGCAAGGGAGCCCACCGACGCCTCAGCTTTGCGATGCCGAACGCAGGCTCTTTTCTGAAAGACAGGAGAATATCTTGAGAATATTTGAAGCGACAGCTCGTGACCGCAGCCAGGAACAAGATGAATCGATTAAACTGAGCGACGTTAAGCGAAGCCGGTAAAGGCGGGGCCCGGGCGTCAATTCTGTATCTCGCGATATACTGAAAATGCTACAATAAGTGAGCGGCTTTGTCTCTCTCTAACCGTCCCCGTAGAAAGAGACAAAGCTATTCACTTGTAGCACTTTCGCCGTAGCGCAGGATACAGAATCGACTCACTGATGTCCCGCGTATCAATTGGCCGTCCGCGCAGATTTATTCGGTGGTCGCGGGCGATCGCGAGTCGATCGTAGGAATAGCGCGCTCTCCGCCGTTACTCATCGCCACCGCGTCCCGAAGGATAATGCGAGCCGTAACGGCCCGCGCCGCCCGGCAATTAGCTGGGACCTTGAACCGCGCGGCGACACGTAAACAAGTGCGCCGCAAGCCGAGCCGCCGAACGTTAACGGATTCCCGGAAATACGTGCGCGATATCGTAAACAACTACGCATTCCATCGCTCAGTGTATTCGTGCGCGTCTTTAACTTCACACCCTCGCCCCGGCGAGCTCCGGATCCCAAGTTTAAGACCGCGTCGCGTCGCTTGAGATCGTGAGATATTACTAGTAGTGTGTGTGCGTGCGCGCGCGTGTGTGTGTGCGTGTGTGTCGATAATTACCAGCGGCTCGTGTAAAACGACCGCATTTCGAGGCTCTCGGGGGAGAAATTAACGCGGGTTGGCCGATCGCGAGCCTCGGATCGAACGTTCATAGACGCGAATGTACCAAACGCGTAGCCGGACGCGAGCATCGCGCTCGGAAAAGTATCGCGACACCGAGAGTCTCCGTCTCCATCCCGATAAGTGAATCGCCCGCGACGCCCCCCGCGACGACCGTCGCGTCGCTCGAGATCGCCCGTGAAATTCGTGATCGCGAGAGATTACTAATGGCGTGTGCGTCGATAATTACCAATGGCCAGTGAAGAACGATCGCATTTCGAGACTCTCGGGGGAGAAATTGGCGCGGATCGCCGTACATCGGCCGATCGCGAGCCTCGGATCGAACGTTGATAAACGCGAATGTACCAAACGCGTAGCCGGACGCGAGCATCGCGCTCGGAAAAGTATCGCTCGCAATGTGTCGCGACATCGAGAGTCTCCGTTTCCATCCCCGATAAGTGAATCGCCCGCGACGCCCCCCGCGACGACCGTCGCGTCGCTCGAGATCGCCCGTGAAATACCTGAATCCGATGAAATTGGTGATCGCGCGAGATTATTAATGACGTGTGCGTCGATAATTACCAATGGCCAGCGAAGAACGATCGCATTTCGTGACTTACGGGGGAGAAATTGGCGCGGGACGACGGGACGACGCGCGATACCTCCCGCTCGCTCGAGCCTCGCCGCACGAATGGGCGCCATCTTTACGCGGGAACAGTTCGCGCTCGCCGCGCGCGGCAAATACGAACCGCCCGAAATTCGAAAAACGCCGCGAAGTGCCTATATTGCGTGATAGAGGTGCACTGTTCTTTGCGTGACAAATGAATTTTAACGAGGAAGCGATTGCCGCTCATCGAATGGCACGTTTGTCCGAAGAATAAAAATTCTATGCGTTTCCATCGGCGGGAGATTTGCGAATGGACACTAATGATAAACGCGTATTCGAATCGGTAAATGTGTGCGCGCGTGGTTTTAATAAATTAAGGTCTCCGTGATCTGTCGTGAATTTTGAAACGCAGAATAAATCTCCGGAAGCGGTGCGGTGATTTAATATCGTTTCCCCTCCAGATTTATTTAAAGTCTCACAATTTCAGTTCTTGCCGAATAGAAAAAAAACCCGATCCACCGGATAACATTGGTCGGTTTCGGTTTGCAACCTGCAAAATTATTCTTTTCACTTGAGGTCTCCCGACCTTAATTAAAATCTGATCCCCTATGCAAATCCACAACGTACCGAAACATTTTATACAATGAAATAAAATATATCTTTCTCAACTGATATGCAAATGTGATAGATGGCAGTTATCGCAAATTTTTCGCGTCAAATGTAACCTCCGCGCGAGAAATCTCTTCGATCCCACAATTCGATAAGTATTTTTTTAATTTTTCACGTAATAAAGGTCCATTCTATTTAATTATCTTACAAATTACTATAATAACAAAGAAAATGGTAAATCGGTACGGGAGAAAACGGATCCGTGTTCTCCATACGATTATTAAACCCACAGAAAAAATTTCGGAATCCAATGCTGCACTGAAAAGAAAATTTTCACTACCGTAGCTAATCATAGTTTGCTAAAAGTATTTTGCTGCCATAACTAGAAATTTCTAAACTGCAATCTAAAATGCCAATAGCACAGTAGCAAAATATTTAACTATCACAACTAAATATATTACTTGTCCATATTTTACAACTGAAATTTAGTTGCCGCATACGGTTTTTAGCTACGTCAATTACATTTTTCTTTCCGTGTATTACACTTGAATGTATCACGAAACAGGATCGACGTAGCGCCAATCATATTTATTATAGAGAAAGGAATATTTTAACCTTAAGTGAAAAATTCTAAAATCTATAATAAAATGATAATATGCATCGTCTTTTGTCGAATATCGTGGCAAGACGGTGGAAAATGTATTCTAAACGCAAGAATATATAAACTTACATTTATATAAGTTACTCTTGTCTCGGTATAGTAAGCCAATCTTTTTAATTCGATGGAGGGGAATAAGAATTATTGATTTTATTTTGATATTGACTTATTCTTATACTAAATGAGGTTGTGAGAAATATAAATGTATCAAGAATATATTTTTTTTCTCGGTATACAGAAATCCTTTCTGAGGGTGTACATTTTCCTCCCTCCCGTAATTGTTACAGCACACGCATCGCTACCGCACACGCATCCTCGCGTTCGGTCGGTACACGAGACAGAGATTTCATCTCGCACCTTGAACACTTAACGCATTCCGCCGCGTTCCTGAATTACACGATGAGCGTAATAGACGCGCGGTACGTCCTGTTTTACAGCGCGGGAGGATGCACGCTATCGCGATAAAAGCTCGCGTGGGTCATCGCGCTCACTTTATGTCCTCGCGATATGGGGTCGGTCCACTTGCTGGGTAAGAACACAGAAAAATCACGCCGCTACAAGGGACTATCTGAAATCTAAGGGACTCCGCGTCGTTTCCCTCCGCATTATGGCGAGTCCGCGCAGGTCGTTATACATACCGGCGCATTTGTCTTTTCCGAACCAGTTGCACCGACCGGTGTACGACTGTCAAGGAACCTTGAGGGAGATGCATGCACTTCCGCTGGATAAAACGTTACAAATTGCTGCTCCGAGGTCGCGAAAGTGATATTAGAAGGGATCGCGTATCTGCCCGAATGTTTTATCGTCAGTTCATTTTCGCGTTTCCATACGACGTTCGTTAGGATGCGCATATTAATCGCCGCAACGCCAAAATTCTCCATCAAAAGAAAGGCAAACATTTTTACAAGTTGTCTCAATGGCATCCTTTTCTACACAGTAAAAAATGAAATGTTGAAGTTAACATTTGTCACGTGTCCTAAAAAGTCCACTCTACATTTTAAGATAAGATAACATTTATTGCGTTTGTAAATGTTAATTAATCAACATTAATTAATAATGTTAATAATGTCAACACAAGAAAAATTTTACGTCTAAACACCCGATTTTTTACTGTGTATTTGTTATCCCGCTTAAAAATTATGGTGCGAATTTATTTTTGTTTGACTAACAGCGTATTTGTGAAATCAGAGCAAACGTCTCGAGCGAATCTAAAACTATGTCTGCACAGTTGAAAATTCGGTGTTAAATTTAACAGACATCACACCCAAACGGTCCACACATATTGTTGTGTTAATTTAACATAATATGGATATGTTAAAAGATCGCACTAATACTCTGTTAATATTTTAACACAAAATAAATTTTCTGTAAAATTAACACATTTTTAAAGATAAAATAAATTTAGAAAATGTAATTTTTAAATTTTACAGATGTAATAAGTCAAATGACGGTTGGAAATCACTCTCACTTATGTTATATGTATAGAATATATGTGTTGTGTAACATTAAAAAATAAATACATATTGTGTAGTTTTAACATTTCTTTTCAGGTATTTTAATAATTTTACATTTCAGGTGAATTAACTTGAGTAATATGTGACATTAATACATGAATGTCTTAAACATTTAACACAAAAATTTTCACCGGCATTCTTTTTTTAACAAGAAGACACAAATTTTCCAACTGTGTACAAGCGAAAAACAAGATTGTGTGCGCGATTATAATCATTGGCAAGTGTATTTCGCTTCCATCATCGTCGTTGCTCGAAAATCAATATAATTTTGCAAAAATTTGCCGTGTGTGCGACCGAAGACTCTGATCGATTGCCCGCGTTCGTTACTAGAACGCGTTAACGAAGGCAGATCGCGACTTTGCGAATTTTACGATAAAATAATCGCCCGTACTTTTCATGCTGAATATTTATGAGGTAATGTTATACGTAATATCTAACGTTGCCGGATAAATTCTAGTCGCGCGTAACTGGAATCTACAGCTGATCGGCGATTCGAATAATACGCGAGCGCGCTTATCTAAATTGTAAAAAGGCTCCGGGTTATTTCCATTGCTCCGTAGTCCGGGGTCAGGACGTGTTGCACCGCCGCTACGTGGGCGAATATTTATTTTTGCTTGACTAGTTACACCCGCTAACGAACCACCCACACCGTCGGAAATTCTTAAAAGTGTAATATATCCTCCGGGCGAAACGATATTTTACTGCTCTCGGTTACATTGCAGGCATCGCCACTTAAAATAATGGGGCGCGAGTACCTTGGCGGTCGCAAAGTACACCCTGTCGTTTTACAGGATGTCAAATGTTGTTGTAAATAACGCGAAAAGGCGCCTTGGATTTTTCATTGCGTCGACTCTTGTAGACTCTTGTAGAGCAGGAAGGTACCTATATCGTTGAATCGTTTCACTAAAAGTAACACATTGCTACGCAAAATGCAAACGTAATAATTCTGCAGTCGGAATTAATGGATAAATAACGTATTTACATATTTTATAACGCGCGTATTACATTTGCAAGGTAGATTTGCAATTGTAATTGCAATTTATTTATCTCCGTGTAAGCGAAATAACTATACTCGTTTCCTATAATTTAAGCGAGAAAAATATCTTAATACATACGATTCATTCGCTATTTACCCTTCGCTCGAGACGCCGGAGCGCAAGAACAAATTAAGAAGTTATTTACCGCCCGAATGACAAATCGATCGATCAATTACCACGTTTAGTGCAAACTCTAAGGCGCTTTTCTTCGCCGTATTTTAGGTCAGTTCGAGTGGCTCCTTTATACGTGGCCCCGCGTTTATCTTTGCTCAACTACTTGCGTCGGCAAACGAATCGCTCTGGCGCGCGGCGCGTCGTGACGGCCGCGGAAGTAGAACAATAGTTTGGCTCCTCCGTTTCGCTTATATGCATAACCGGGGATGTTTAGCATCGATTCCGCTAACAGGCCGCGTCGCACGCAGCTGCCGGGGAAAATGCACGCGGCGAATTAGCCTGCGTTTCTGCGCCAACAAACAACGATTGTTATTGCTGCTCCGGACTGCGTCTAAAAACCGTGACAGTCGCTTCGAACGGCGCAAAGACGCACCGAATGACTCCCTTGTTGAAGACAATGGCCGCTTGTGAATCGACGTCACGGGCGAAGCGCGCTGACCGCGGAAGTATCGACCAAGGTGCTGCTTGAAAAACTTATTGATTTTAAATATTACGATACGAATATCTCATTTCGCAAGTGTGCAATCAGTAACTTTAAATT